CCATGCTGGAGCATTCAGGGGTGTTCCTGGCCTGGGGAAGGGGAGCAGAAGGGAAGAGTTGTGGGATCAGTCAGTGTCAGTGCAGGGGACAGGGGCAGCTCCTCCTCCTTCCCATCCCCTGCTCCTGCAGCAGCCACAGCATCTCCTGGCAGCTCCTCCCTTCCAGATCAAAGCCTGGGTTTGGGACACAAACCCACGTGTCACCAGAGCCCTGTTCCTGCTGACAGTCAGCACTCCAACACTCCCTCAGGACTGCAAATGCCTGGAATTCRGGGGCAAATCCACAGCATCCATTTGATCTGCATCCCTTTGATCTGGGTCACCAGCCCAAGCCCCACGGGACTGCTCCTGCCCCTCCTTAACCCGACAGGAAACACCTCCTGTGTCCCTGGAGAGGCATCCCTGGGGGCCTGAGGGCTCCCTGTGCCCCGAGCTGCTGGGGCTCATGGGGCTGGAGCGGGAACGAGAGGGGAAACAGGGAATGGTGACACAGGATGGTGACAGGGAATGGTGACACGGAATGGTGACACGCCAGCCATGGCCCTGAGCCTCTCTCCCCGTGGGTTGGGGGGATGTTGTCATGGTTATGGCAGCTCCCAAGCCTCTGCAGAGCTCAGCCGGGCTCCATGGCCACATGGAGATGTCCAGGGCCACCTCAGGATGCTCACGGCCACCTCAGGATGCCCAGGGACACTCTAAGATGCTCAGGATCACCTTGGAATGCCCAGGGTGACCTTGGGATGCCCAGTGCCACTCTGAGATGCCCAGGACCACCTCGGGATGCCCAGGGACACTTTGGGATGCCCAGGAGCACCTCGGGATGCCCAGCGCCCCCTTGGGACATCCAGGGTTACCTTGGGATGCCCAGGGACACCCTGAGATGCCTGGGGTCCCCTTGGGATGCCCAGGGCCCCCTTGGGACATCCAGGGCTACCTTGGGATGCCCAGGGACACTCTGAGATGCCTGGGGTCCCCTAGCGATGCCCAGGGTCACCTTGGGATGCCTTGGGACACTTTGGGATGCTCAGGGCCACCTCCTGATGCCCAGGGCCCCCTTGGGACATCCAGGGTCACCTTGGGATGCCCAGGGACACTCTGAGATGCCTGGGGTCCCCTCGGGATGCCCAGGGCGACCTTGGGATGCCCAGGGACACCTTGGGATGCCCGGGAACACTCTGTGATGCCCAGGGCACGTCCCAGGGTTGGCACTGCCCCTCCCAGCCCTGCTGTGTCCCAGGAGGGGCCGGGCTGCCCTCAAGGACATTCCCCTCCGTGCCAGGCAGGCAGATTTCAGGAGCGATTTCCACAGGCAGCTGCACCGCCCCGATAAAACGGCCCCGAAATAGCGCAGTAAATTACAGTGACAGGGCCCATCATCCACACAGCCCGCACGTGCCGCCTGCCCGGGCTTTCTTCCTCGAACAAAGCTCTGCTCTGCACAGCTAATGAGCCTGTGGGAGCCTTTCCAAGGGCAGCAAAAGCAGCAGAGCTTCATGGCAGCTCAGGTTTTTTTTTTTTATTTTTGATTTGCATGATTAACATTTGAGCTGCTCCATTTGCATTCAGGGTGACAATCCCAGAGCTGGCAGGAGCACAGGTACAGCAAATAAACCCTAAAGCAGCACAAGAAGCAGTGACAGGCTCTGAAGTGACCCTTGGGTGTGACGTCCTCACTGCCATCTGGGGTTTGTGACACTGGACACAGCTCTCACTTGCTGAATTCTCCTGGAGCCAGCAAGTTGCCACGGTTAAATCACATCACATCTGCTCACCGACTGCGCCGGGGCAGAAGGAAAATTACAGCCTGAGATCTCACTGACATTTCACCACGGCAAAAAAAAGCAGTGTGGAAAATAAATCTAAAGGTGAAGACATCCAGGGGATGTGGAACAAAGGGAAGTAAAATTATCTGTTTAAACTCGAAGTCAGTTTTAATTCAATTTAACCAAACTGGGAAGCACCGTTACACAGAGGCAGCAGAACTGTCGGGAGGGTTAAGGGTCAGGGGATGATGAAGCTCTCCAGATAATTACTGATCCCTCCTGGAAAACCTGGTGATTTGCAGAAGAGAAAGAGGCCCCAAAACACACAGCATTAAACCAGAGCTGCTAAATGAGGATTCTTTCACTRGCACTCATTCCTGTGCACAGGAAAACACCCCTGGGCCCCAGGCTGGGATCAGCTGCTCCAAGGCTGCTCCTCACATCTGTCACACAAGTGTCCATTGTCACAACACCACGTTTCATCCCCTCTCATCTTTCCCTTCTCCTAAATTCCAATTTGAGGATCTCCAATACAACAGAAGGCTCAATTATTTAAAAGGAAATCAAATCTTTCTAGATGTGCTCACAGTTTGTCTCCCTCAGCCTTTGATGCTCGCAGGCAAAACTACAGGAAGGGARAAAGAGCGAGACTGAAATTTCCCCGTCAGTTTTTAATGAACAATTGAAAGCAAGTAGAGAACAGAAATGACAGGCAAAATTGCCTTGCTGCTTTCAGAGCTCAGAGAAGGCCTCATCATATCACTGCTCTGTTTGATTCGTGATTGCTGACAATCACAAATCCCTTTCCAGCCCTGCCCGACTCCACCGGCCCCATCTGCCGGCARCAGAGCAGGGCAGGGATYCAGMCAGGGCTGGGAGTGAACAGGACACAAGAGAAACACTGAAAATKGAGACAAAGTGAAGAGTTTTCCAGGGGGATTTGATGCTGTACAAGGTATCTGATCCACAGCTACATCAGCCCAGACAWCAGCCCAGCACCTGCTCTTCAGCTGTTTAATCAGCATTTAATGATTCATTCAGTGTTTCTGGGTTTAGCTGCAAGTTCCAGGACTCTGAGAAGCTGCTCTGCATCCCCTGCCAGCTGAAGAACATCCAGGGAGTGCAAGCAGAGAGGGTTCAGCTACAGGAAAGGACATCCAGATTTCTGCAGAGCCCTCTGTACCCTGAGCACTAGGGAAGGAATTTGTCTTTTCCCTACAAACCCTTTATGAGATAAGTTAGAATATCCTGGAGACTCCTCATCGAGAAATAACAAAAAGATGCCTCCCTGTCCTGCCTCAATCCCCTACACAGACTCATGTTGGACCCTCTCCACCCCAGGGAGGGGAGGACACAGGAAGGTTTTTCATTTTCATTTTCATTTCCATCACTTTTGCTGACTGGGGCAACAGGGAAACCCCAGAAGCACCACAGTCATGCTGCACCTGATGCCACACAAAACCACAGCAGCAAAACCCCTCGTGGAGCCAGGGACCTGACCCACAACTCCTAACAGGGATTTACTTTCCCGGGGCAAAAATTCCTTTGCTCTGCTCTCTTTGAGGTTGAGCCCTGTCCATATCCCAGCCCAGACTGTGTAATTGTGGAGTTGGCAGCAAACACAAAAGTGCCAAGTTGGTGCTAAAATTGTGTCTCTCCCTGGATTTATCTGAAGCAGCTTGGAGCTCCCCGAGCCACAAAGCTCTTAAATCATCCCCCAGTAGCTGCACCTTGCAATTTTCAAAAAGGTAAAAGGTCACCCCTCAATTCCTCCCTGGTTTAATGGGAAAGCTGGAATCACCTGGGAGCAGCTTCATTCCACGAGGAGCTCATTAGTTCACCCCATTCCACTTTGGGAAGGAAGAGACTCTGGGTCAAAGCCGTGGCCCAGTGACCTCCCTGAAAGCACCAAAGCGACTCCAGGCAGGAAATTCCTCCCAAGAAACCCTGGTGAGCACAGGGGAAGCACAGCTCAGGATGCAGGAACACCTCCTGGAGCCCCACAGATCAGCCCCAGGTCACCCCAAGAGAATGAATCAGACAGAGATTCTGGAAAAGGCTGCCCTTTGCAGGGAAGGAAGATGGGAAATGGTGTTGAGTAGTTCCAGGAAGCTCAGCAGCAGGACAGGCTCGGAACAGGGAAGAAAACTCAGAACCACAAAGCTCAAAGTCAGGCAGGGCATCCTGCCCCCCACAGCCTCTCCAGAGGAACTCAGTGCACACCAAAGGTGCAGGATTCCCTGCTGAACACAAACATTCAGCACAACAAACACCAAGAGACCAGCCCTGGACTCACTGCTTCCTCCTCCCATACTGGTCAAACTGGTTGGCTTTGGAAGGGAAGCCCAGCCAATGCACTGCAGACACCACAAATGTCAGCATTCCACAGAACCATCAGAGCTTCCAGGGGGGAGCTGCTCCTTCAGGCTCTGACTCTTTCCAGGAATGATTCAGRTTTGGAGAGTTTGTGCAGACCTGTGCTCCCTGCAGAGCTTTAGAGCAGAGCTTTGGCTCAGGAAAGGTTTCACACCCATCTGTCAGCAGTTTCTGCATGTGAGGGGCAGGAACGGGTTCTGCTCTTTCCCGGCTTCCAAGAATTTCATGGAAGAGACGCACTTTAAGAAATTAGTTTCTGAAAGTCTTTAACTGACCGAGCAAAGTCAGCCCCACCATTTCTTCTCTTTGCCTGACAGATCTCACTCGTACAGTTTTCARCAAGCACTAAACSCAGYGAATCCCAGGATGGTTTRGGTTGGAAGGGACTTTAAAGATCACCCCATTCCAGCCCTTGCCACGGTCAGGGTCACCTTCCACTGTCCCAGGCTGCTCYSAGTCCCATCCAAACTGGCCTTGGACAGTTCCAGGGATGGGGCAGCCACAGCTTCTCYGGGCACCCTGTGCCAGGGCCTGGTGGGACTGGTCTTTAAGGTCCCTCTTAACCCAAACCAGCCTGGGAATCTGGGATTCTACATTTCAGCCATAAAGCTCCCAGGCATCCTCCCCACACTGAGAAATGAGGGAGTTTTTAAACAGTGATGAGCAAATTTTTAGGTGCTGCAGCCCATGGCAAGCTCCCACCCCACCAAGCCACAGAGAGCACYATGGGAAGAGCTCTGAAAAAACCAAGCAGTGACCAAACCACAACGTTCTGGAATCTGTGCAGCAGCAGAGCCAGAAAGGAGAGCTATGGTGAGTTAAGGACCTTGAGCTGAGGTTTCACAGCAGGGGAGGCTTTACCTTCTGCAGGAAGAGGACAATCCTGACGAGCATCTTGGCATGCAGCTCCTCCAGGGTGAACAGGGTCCGTGGTGTGCGGATGAAGAGCTTGGTCTTGCCGTAGGCCACGTCGTGCTGGAAGCCATGGCACTCGATGAGTTTCCTCACTGCGTCCTTGTCCGAGGGCAGGTCATGGTTGGGCCAGGTGAATTCTGAGATCATCTTGTACCTGGAGTTAAAAGGTTCAATTTACAATTGTGAACTTGGTACTGAGGTGTTCAAGAATGCCAAACTTCAGCAGCTTTCAGATATAATTAGCAACTAAATTGTAGTAAAACTGAGTATAGGTGGGARAGCCTCAAGATATTCCTCTGTAGGAATCACAATCCTCAAAAGACAAGGAAAATGAATATGAGATACATGATTTTGTGAGATGCTGAAAAAATAATATTGAAAAATATTCAGCTCATCAGCACTGAACTCATGCAACGGGACAAACTCAGCATTAACCTCCTGCAGATTTGTCTGTTCCATTATCCACACACCTTCTAATTTTAATTTTTATTTGTTTGTTCGGGTTTTTTATGAGGAAGGCAAGCTCTGATTTGTTCACATTCTGCATAAGAAACTACCTGCAACCGATTGCTTTGTCAGATAACCTGGATTTAAAAATTCTGCAAATTCATTTTTTCTCGTGCATCACTTTGGGAGCCATTTGTAACAAACTCTGCCACTTCCSCCAGCAGCAGAGCTTTGACTATGAAAACACTGCCTGTAACTGGGAGCCAGCCATTCCTCCTATCCTCACTCTCCAAACTAATTTTTCCACTAAAGAGAAATGCAGACTGGAACTAAAACATCTACAAATGAACCATGAAGTGACAGGACCACTCCAAGCTCCCTGTAAGATCTACCAGCCCTGGAAATGCTGATTAGGRGAACAGGCGTTTTTCAGAAAGCAACAATGAATTTTCTGTGGAAGATTTATGGACATAATAAAAGCTGTAATAGACGTTTTCCCTGGAATAGAAGCCACAGCCACATTCTAAATAAAACAAGCACTCGGCGAGCTCAGCCACTTCGCACTTCAAAGCCCGCAGCCAAGGCAGGCATCAATCTCAACACTTCAGACACTCGCGGCTCTCAGTTACACTGAAACGGCCTCACAACCGCCCTTTGCTGAGAGTGACRGCACTGCAGGAGGCACGGAACAGCCTCACAAGAGGCTCAATGGAAACACATCCGTTCATTCATCAAATTAACCTCTGGAATAGGCTGTGGAACGGGGAAATGGAGGTGCACACTGAGGCCGAGCAGGGAACACCATCCCCRGGGGTTATGGGGATCTCATCGAGAAATAAACAGGATTATAAACACCCTCTTCAGACTCCCGGGAGATTTAGCCCGTGTTGGCAAAAGCATTCCTGCTCTGAAATACACAGACACACAATGGAACATCAGTGCTGCACGCTGGATCCTCTTCCCTGCTCTCATCASGAAAATGTTCCTGCAATCATTAACTCACTGGGAAAATCTCTCACCTTGAGATGCTGATGGTGGGGAAAAAGAAAAAGTAAACTAACAAAGCACTGGCAGTGCAATCCCCTGAGCTGGGAACAAGGCTGCAGATCAGTTGGGATCCAGGCTATGGATCAGGCTGTGGATCAGACTGTGGATCAGTTGGGATCCAGGCTGTGAGACAGGCCTCTCTGCTCTTCAAGAAGATGGATGTCCCAGAACTGGAAACATGCCCCAAATGTTYGATCCTCYCCCTCCTTTCCTGAGCAGTCAGAGYCATGGCATTACAGGCACCCCAGTGCCAATGTYCCCTCTCTTCCAGCCCCCAGGA